TTGCATATTTTCACGAAATTGAAGTTTCCTAAACTTAATTTTAAGTTGTACGTTTAAACTTTTCACATTTAAACTATTGAAATGAAGTCTCAACCATTTGTGGACGTAATCTCTTTTATTGTCGAGAAAACTGTGTTCGGTATACGTAATTTCGATTGTTATCTATGACTATGTTCATTGTCTATGCATAATTCATTCATCGCATTTGTCTATTAACTGATGCATGTAAAATGATTATGCGATATTAAATTTAGAATCGCTGCATGAATCGATGTAGAAATATATGAACAGTTGATTTGCATTCATAGGACTGAAGTTACCGGAAATAAATGGAATTCAAGAAACGATCGTTTATTATGATTAATCGATGCACGAAATGGAAATAATACATGGGAATTCCATTCGAACATATGCATTCAATTCCTGTTCAAAGAAAAATTACCCTTTTTCTAACTCATTTACATCGGTACACAGACATAAATATTATTCAATTCAATAAAAGGTTTGAGCTAGAATAAAAAAAAATGTAATAAACTGTATTTATTTTAAATAATCGAATGGAGTTAATTTGCTGATAGTAAGATATTAAGTTTACGGTTTACATATAATAATTAGAATAATAAATTGCTCAAAAATTAATTCAATAATACCAATATTTTTTTATATTCGTGGCAATCGAAATCCCAAGAACCGAATAATCCAGACAGTACCAAAATCCAGTGAATACTGCAGTTTTCATCAGACAGTGCACATTCCTGTTTCCACGTATTCGGGTCTTCACTAAACTCCATTAACTCCAAGAACTGAAAGATGAAGAAAGGTGTATAGATTAAAATGGTGTATACATTATGTTGTTATATAGTAGATAAAAGTTTTGATTTTTATAAGATGATACATTTTCTATCAATCCTATCTAAACTTATACTGGAGATCAGGTATCTAATAAATTATGAACATTCTCTAAGTGAAATGCAAATAGAGGCAATTTTTAGCCATGAGTTTCTTCATATAGATTCAACGATGGTCACTACTAACATCAAGTTATATGTCGAATCGTTATGTTACTGTTTGTGTGGAGAAGTCCCAAAAAATAAAGTGATGTTAATAATACATTTTCTCAATTTATTGTGTTTATTTAATTAATTATTATATTGTTTAAACTCATTATTTGTATATATAATGTAAGAATTACTTTTTTTTTAAATTTAAATAAGCGATTATTTTTTGTATGTTCGACAATTGGAGTTTTTCATATTGATTTGTTTTATATAATGCCCAAGCAGCTAAAAACCGCACAGAAGCTATACCCGTACACGATGTTCAGCCAAAAAAAAAAAAAAAAAAAAAAAAAAAAAATATATTTCATAAAATGTGTTTTCTCGTAGGAAAAAGATTAAATTTGAAACTGTGAAAAATATTAAATGTAAGCACGTGTAGAGCGATTCTGTTATAAAGCGAGCGAAGTGCCAAGACAAGAGTGGAACAAACTTCTGCTTTGAATCCAGAAAGTAGATGGGTCTTAAATGTATTGCGGGTAAATAACGTCCTTCATTGAAGAACGAGCAAGTCTTTCATCATTTCGTGGATGCCTGGATGAGCGTGTGTGTAGGAGACAGACGGAGATCATGTAATTGAGAACGTTGAAAATAAATCCGAGAAATCTTCGAAGCTCCACTTCCACTCAATAATAATCTTTTCCTTACCAACATGCACCATTCCAATTTCAAATATATACTGATTTGTATCGTTGATAAGTGTTTTTCAAAAGAAACGTCAATTTCTATAATAGATCATCTGATTCAACTGAAATGGATATATTTCATTTAAATGTTTTATTTTCTTGTTTATTGGAATTCTAAGTAAATTTGATCATGATTGATTTTATTTGATTACTTATCTTTGTTATATCATTATAGATTTTTAGTTAATATTGTATTGTATTTAAAGTTATTTTTTTAAATCTTTTATTACTTATTCACAACCTGTCAACCTTTTGGCAATAAGTGGAATTTTTTTGACCATAGATAAAAAAAAATGAAAATAAAAACAGAAAAACAAAATAACAAGCGTGAAGCGGAACGTTTTCCCATCGGAAACCTTCTAACAAACAAACTCAAATTTAATGTGATAACAAAACAGCCCAATTAAAATTAATTTTGAAGACACTAAATAATAACTTCAAAGATATTCACTGTAATGCACGAATAAAACGAACTTTAGTTTCTAAAGGGAAGGTCGAGGGTGTTGTGTCTCTTTAGTCTATGGGGGGTGTCACTATTGTCTAGTAGGGATAACGCGAAACTGCTGGGGTGGTTTTCCAGTCTGTTCTGGTAATGGGCACTGAACATGGGTGTTCATGTGGTGGTCATTGTGTATCGTGTCGTTCGTGACGTACTAGGGAGCTTGCACCAGGGTCCGCAGGCAATTGGACTGGAAACGTTGTAGGATCTCTATGTTGGAATTGCTGGCTGTTTCCCAAAGCTGAATGTCGTACGTCCACACCGACTTCAGCACTTGTAGATTAATAATTTGTTGTCGAGGGATAGTGGAGATCTTCTGCCGATCAGCCAGTATAATTTTGCGAACTTGATGCCCAGTTGGTTCCTTTTAGTTGCGATGTGCTTCTTCCACGTGAGTCGGCGATCCAAGAACAAGCCCAAGTATTTACCATCGTCAGCTTGCGGGAAGGTTTTGCTGTTCAGTGTGACCGGGGGCAAGTTCCCTTTCTAAGGGTGAAAGTGACGTGGCTAGATTTGGTTTCGTTGACTTCTGATGCGCTACTTAAAGTTAGTAAGCTCAAAATATCAATACAGTAAACTACCAATTTATATCAAAAAAATAACTGAAATATAGTTTGAAAAATAATGTGTTTTTAGGTTTTACTATATGTTTAAATTTATTTTTACAGCTGTAATTTAGCTTTATAGAATTTTATTTAAATTTTCATAAATTAATAAATTTCGAAATTTTTGAATATTTTGAACATGTTATGCATGCTTGATAGATAAGGAAAGTTCAAGAAAGTGTCCTATAATTGTAAAAATATTTAATTAAATTATGAGAATTTTATGTGTTTATTATTTTCGCTGATTTTTATATAATAGATTATTTCTAGAATAACAGATATTTTTATTGGAAATTATTAAACAATTATTATCCACTGAAACAAACAAAGTTATAAAAAAATAGTTATACAGATTTAGAAGATACAGAAATAATTATAATTGAATTAACAAATAATTTAGTACACATTTACTTTTATTTTGACATACATTTGTTTAATAAAATTTCAGAATTATATAAGCATTATTAACCAATTAGTAAATATGTAGAAATGTGGTAAGTAATTAGAAAATTTATTGCATTTTTTTAAAATTATTATGCTATTAAAAAAATCTGGTCTGTCTATGCTAGAAACGAAATTGTATTTCAATACATTCAACATGTTTACCATTGATATTATGAATAAAATAATATAGACAACTAGCTGCAATAATATAATAAATTTATAGAAAATTGGTTATGAATAATTAACAGAAATATTGCATAAAATAATTATATTTATTATGAAACGACTTATACGGTTTACAATGAATTCGCACGTAAAAATCCATTACGTTAAATTTTCAATGCGGGATCCAATTAAAACTGCCTACACACAGGCATGTATTTTAAATACTAATTGCGTTTTAGTAAAAAAATATGCAACGAGTTTTAATGAATCCATTATTTCATCGCATTTAATTCAAATGCTCCAATCTAATTCAGATTATTGCATTACAACACTGTAATAGGAATTTTTATAATTGATTTATTTTTACCTCGTTCACGGTGCAGATTTACTGGCAATCCGTTTTTATTTTCATTGTTACAAAGGCAGAAACTGCAATTTTAACCGAAACAACAAAATATGCTATAATACAAAGTTTTTATTGAAACAGAAATATTAGTTGTTTTATTTGAATCTTAATTGCTTAATAGACAATAAATATTACAATTTACGTTATTTACCTCTGGTTTCGATCAGTCCGGATTCTGGACTATAGTAGTTTGAAAATATTGAAACAAAAAAAAGTTAATTGAACAAAAAAAAAACTAAATAATTAATACACATTGATATTTTTTTTCTTTTATCATGTCTCTTTTTGTACTGTTATTATTATATCAACGCATTAATTAGTGAAAATATTGTAATTACCACTTTGGAAATTCATGAATAATCTAAATTACTTTTATTCTTATTTATTAATTAGATTAATGGGATTTTTTTTTACTAGAAAAGTGTAATGAAAATTTACGCAGCTTAAATGTTACTAAAGATTTCATTCACTTAAGAAGTTGCGTATCATTTTTGATGATAAGTTATCTTTTCAAGATAGAATCAGTCATTTTAACACCGAAGACATTTGGTTTTATGGCAAAAATCAGCACACTTTTTTTTATTACAAGATTAAATTTTTATATTTTGAATTTAATATCATAAAAAAGAATATGTGTTTGATTTATCTACTGCAAATATGTTATTTGTAGCTTTTACTGGCTCAAAAACAATACACATATTTTATAAAAATAAATATGTTTGCCACTTTTCATTGCACGTATGCAATAAAGTATTTTTATGTATAAATAAAAATATATATTTATTACACCAATTATACAATTACATATGAAAACACCCATAAACAAATGCAACTAGTTATTTTTATGATCGTTTCAGGAATGTTTAACAATCATAAATTTTCAATTAAAATTAGTGCGAACGTTCCCAATTTTTTCTACAATAATAAAATGTGATAATTATTTCTGTTTTATATTTTTTTTCATTCAATTTGATATTATGATAACAATTATTTTGGGAATAATTGGCTCTTCAAGGAAGAATACGTTCTCTAACGTTGCTCTAACAAATTGTTGTTTCGTTTGTCACCTTATCTGATGATTTATCTGCCACGTGTCGGCTTTCTCTTGAATTGTTTTCATCTAGTTCTTATTTTTTTCAGATATACCGGAATTAGTTGTATACACGACGAAGCAGAATGAAATGTTGCCCATAGACACGATATATTTCACGCAATGCGAACCGACTTGGTCTCAGGCGACGGACACGTTTTGGACTGCACTGAAAATGCTGCTACTCTATATCATCCCCTTGATATTTATGACTGTAACGTATTATCAGATCATTGGGGTTTTATGGAGGTCCGGGAACGCTAATCAACATACTTTGGGTAAGTGCTTTTCGTAATACACTTGAAACGAATATCGTTTGCTTCATCACCAACAGACAAAGAGATACATAGAATTTCTGTTAACGTTTGGATTCGGATGCTTTCTATAAATCTAATTATTTTGTTTACTTCTTTAATATTTTGAGATATATCAAATTAATATAAAGAATTATATGAATTTTATATCAAATTTATAATAATAATAACATTTATTGCAACAAATCAACATACTACGAACTCAACAAAATATAATAATAAGAAAATAAAAATAAATTGATCTGCTGCAAAGGTCCCCAATTTATAGTTTATAAAATTATTTAAATTAAAAAAAAAATATTTATCTTTTCACTTTATGGATTTTATACAATTATTTATACAATATCGATGAATATCATTTTAAAACAAAAAATGGTATTTATTTCTTGCTTTATTGTGTAGAATAACGTTATTTTACAGAATATCTAGTTAGTATATATCAGGGGTGGCCAATTTGTGTAGCAAGAGCCATAGTTTCCTACCGGACCTAAAGTTGTTGGTATGAAAATTTAAAAATTCTGAATCTTAAGGTGTATTTACAAGTATCAGATAGTTAAAAAATTAACAAATTTATTAGTTGAGCCACAATAAAACTCTTTGAGAGCCGCATGCAGCTCGTGAGCCATCCACTGATTTATTGGGTGAAGTAAAAAGTTTTGAGCAAAAAAATGTGTTATTTATGGACCTAATGCAGTATCGAATATGGGACAAAACGCTCAGAACTTTTTACTTTACCCAAAATAAATAAGATCTTTGATCTGAGACTGCGTGTATGCTTGTAACAAGATGATACTGGTATATCATTATGTGCAGCTTTTTACAAGTTCAAAATGTATTGCAACCACAAAGCGAATGCCTACATCCTACAACTTACACTTTTATAAATACTGTATATGTCTTTATATTATAAGATAGTATAATGTAAGTAAATAGGTATGGAACCATTTCATGGACTCCCAAATTTTTTTTTCGCTGACGTAGATCCCTTGCAGATTGTCATAGACCCCGGGGGGTCGATATAGACCACTTTGGGAATCACTCTTTGGTCTAAACTATGACCAAAATTATATGATTTATTCATACCCTTTGATTCAGTGTTTCTTAGTTAATTTCCCTAAAATTGTTGGATATAAAAATAAAGATGCACATTCTATCAACCACTTATTTATATAATACTAGATTATAAAATTATTAATTTATGGACCTAATAATGAAAAATTTTCAAGTAGTATTTTAAATTACAGAAATATAAAATTGAAATTGCATACTTTTTTATGTATTGTACGTGTCAATAAAAATAGTATTATATTACGTCAGACGTTTTATTTTATTCAATCTACACTGTACACACTGTACGAGTTCTACAATTGTTTTATTTTATTTTTGAAGAAAAAAAAATAATGGTCTATAATCCGATGATTTGATGATAATACAGAAGATTATTATTACATAATTATAATTTACAATTTACAACAAGAAATATGATTAACCTAATCCAGATAATAATTTGTTATAAATTTTTTTATAAATTGACATAATCATAATAACCTTTGACCTAATCATATGAAAATTATAGTCGATGATGAAATTAGTTATTTAGATTTTTGGGTCAACATTACTACTATAATGTCCAAGCCTTAAGGATTAATTTCATCCACGGATACTTTGTCAATAGGGTTAATTGGGTTTGCGTATCGCTCGGTAATCCGACTGAAAGGGACGAAAGGGAGAATAAGCGAATTTCAACGGTGACAGCGTTAATTATCCAAATCAGGAAAGCATAATTTATTCCAGTGCAATATACACTTGGGAACCTTGTGTGTTCGTACGGATTCAACCTTGCAGGCTTAATGCATTGTTTTTGTTTATACACATAATCAACAACTTATTCTTAGAACTAGCTCATGAAACTCTTTGATGTATTCTTGTTGAGAACAGAATGGTCGTATTCTTTACAACCTAAAATTCAATATATTTATTCATATGTTGCTATGAAAATATCACAGCGCAATATATGAAATACTCCGAATTTCATTAAAATCATAGTAATATATCAAGTGTTTTCATTCGAAGAAATTTAATCAAAACTTTGCCGTGTGATACCTGACTTCAAACCAATGCAAAACTAATAAATTCTTTTAAAAGTTCGAACTATAATCCCGTATAAAGTTTAATCCGTACTTCTACACGCACGAACGTAGAATAATAAGCTTTGTACAAATAATACTGAAAATAATTGTTTAACATGTGATCTTATATAAAAAAAATCTGTTTCTCACTTTTTTAATTGGAATTATAATTATTGACGTCTGTGCGATTGATTTATTTTAACAATTATTTGTCTCATTATTTGATTTTCATTCTTTTGATTTTCTTTGTTCCAGAGGTGCCTGGCAGACAGAACACGATTTCCGTGAACACAAACACAAACATCGAGAGCCAACTGAGATCCAGGATCAAGGCTGCCAAAATGCTTGTCGCCGTGGTGATCATGTTTGGCGTTTGCTATTTTCCAGTCCACTTGCTCTCGTTGCTAAGGTACGATTTTGAATTGATCTGTAAGCGTTAATTAATTGATTATTAATTGTTCTCTACTGCGGATGCATTGATACAAAATCGATATGTGTGACTGATAGAATAATTTACAGTTTTAAACACATAAATGATTTTGTATGTGTATTTAATTAAACTGCAATAATTTAAGCATACTATTATTAAATAGTAGATATAATTTTGAGGGTCAAGGATTTTTTCAGTATGCGTTTGATAAAATTATTGAGAGGTGAAAAGTGATTTTCGAATAAAGAATAGTTGTATGAACTGTCATCTTATTAATTCCTAAATCAATATTATTTTAACTAAAATAAAAAGTTTTCAATATTATTTAAACACAATCTATGATTTTCAATTTCTTTTTTTGAGGAACTTTTTTTAATTTAATTTGTATTTTTTTGGTTTTCATTGCTAATATTTTTTTCTAAATCTCCCATTTAAAATTATTTTTGGCTTTAAATGGGAATATTATTGGGTTTTCCAGAAAGTTCGTGTTGATTTTTCACTAAAATTAAAAATCAAAATTTTTATATATAGATATATATTTTTTAATTATGTATGCACCATTTTTAATCTATAAACCTTACTTCATCTTTCACACAACTTAAACATTGCAGCCTCCCAGAATTTAAAAGGTTTTTCTTGAAAAACTTCTTCATGTGATCAACTAAAATTTAATCGTTCTTGCAATTAATGGAATTTTGCTGGATTTAAATTTTTGTTTTGCAAAAAGTGCATTGTCTGGTGAATACTACGAATGGAGAAATACAACTCTGCCCTACTCCAACAAGAAATATAAGAGCTGATATTGTCGTGATTTTTGTCCGTTAAATTGTGCAAAACTCGTATATCTTAACGGTTTATGAAAGCAAGCTTTAAAAACGTTCGTCGATAGTTGTTTTTAATATTTTTAGTATCTCTCATTCACGTATCGTGTAGTGCAGTTTATTCTCGATCAATGTCTTGATTTCCTCATTAGTACAAGCAGAAATTTAAGACTGAAATCATCAGCTCTAAATTTAGAGAATTGTGTTCTTAAAGTTAATTTAGCTAAAGCAACTTCGTTAGCTGAATATATCTTAGTTATTGCACACAATTTTCTTCCATCTTCAAAAGGGCACTAAACTGACATAAATCATTTGATCCATACCAAAATGTAATCTAAAGAGGGTTGAAATTTCACCTTTTTGAATTTGTACACAAATTAATTATTTTTTTAACAATTCTTATATATTTATGTATCGACAACTTTATTTAGCGAAAATCGGCACGAACTTTCCAAACAACCCGATAGTTATGTTAAATGGGACTTCTAATTGAGAACTTCTATATATCGAAACTTTCTTATCAGAGGTAAAGTTAACCTAAGTATGACTTTATTCATATTCTGAATATGTCATTAGCTAAATTATTATTTCATATATTGTGTAAAGGCATCATTATATTATAATAACATTATTGATTGCAGTAATTCAAAAAATACATATATAAAGTTTGAAACATGAATTGTCGCTACATAATTATGAAAATATATTAAAAAAATAATTATAAATTAAATATGAAAAATTACTAAAAACCTTTTGTTCTCAATTGTTATTTTTATTAATTCAAAATCGTATTCACATTAATACAATGTGTATTTACACAAAATATTATTATTATTAATTCAAAAACTTTTATGGCAGAAATATCTTTTTCATGGTAAAAAAATAATGTTTAATATATTTTAGTTTTAATCAAAAAATAGAACATTGAAATCTTCAAATAGTAATAAAGTTAAATGTGAAGTTATTGTTATAAGTATTTCAGAATTTCATTTTCCAAAATATAGGTCATCTTAACAAAATTGTTTATACTTAAATGAAGTGTTACACGCGAGGTGTACAATAGGTATAGTTCCTTATGTAGTAATTTGTACTTACTCAGACTTGTCTTGAATATAGAATACAACAGCTGCAATGCTCTCATATCATATAAACGCACCAGTTACCTCAGATAAGAAAACAACTTTGAATACAGCTGCACAGAAAATTTTTATTTACAAAATACTAAAGAATAAAACTTGAAATTAATATGTGTTTATAATGCACTCAATTATGGAAAACTCTCAATTGTACGTACATTTTTATTTTTCAAAGAATATTAATAAAAAAAATAAAATCAACTATAAAAAAGAAAGTTTATTTTTGAATTTTTACTTTAGTACGTGTTAAAAATAATAATTATTAATGTGTAGAATTGTAAATAGAAAATATAATAATGATTAGTGGTTCAAGCAAAAGATCTGAAGTAATATTAAAAAAATGTATGTAAAACCTTTGATTTCAAATCAAATTCGTCACAAATTAGGGAATAATGTTTTTGAAATGATAGCAGAGAAATACTTATATGTAATCTCAAGCACCGAAAGCAAATTTCAGTATAAATGATGGAAGGCAGGTGAAATAGGAGAAGAGGATTTATGCAAAGCAAGCAAGATTATATTGATGGTATGCATGTATACACACAAAGCGGATTTATGCAGTCATGTGAGATGTGAGCAAAATGAGTCAAATTCAACTGTCTCCCTAATTTATACAATAAAATAGTCATTTTTATACTTTATCCATTTATTAATTACATATTTTTAAATAGGTTAAAAAAGGATTAATTTAATTGATTTAAAATATTGCGAGAATACTTTTTTCTTAAATTATTTGTGGTGCCAACAATATTCGACGGAAATTTCTCTCCGGTAATTTTTCATCCAGAAATACATCTGGTGATTCTTTACTTGGAAAGTTCAACTCAAGAACTCATTTTTCTCTTTTACTGTTCTTTCATTCCTACGAGTCGACGTTTTTCTTCCTTACTCATCCTCTTACTATCCCTTTTATAACCATTTTCTATAACATTCATCCCCTTACTCATGTCTTGATTATGATTAATCTATTTCTTAATATATAATTTATTTAAAAAATGAAAAAACTATAATTTAATTAAATAATAACAATGTTTATTGCATCAGTCGTACAAAAAAACATATACGGAAATAAAAAAAGAAAATGTATATAAATTCAAAAAAAGTCAAAGAAATATAATTATTATTTTCGTTTCAAAAACTTATACTATTTTGTATTACTTAAAAAATGACAATATTTTCATTTATTTTATTACTAATAACCGAATAGTTAAATTGCCCTACCAATGATTTCGATTTTTTAAATTAACGATTAATTTAATCTATTATTGCATTAAAGCAAATATTTTTATTATAACTGTTTCGTAAATTAAATAAAAAAAACCTAATAGTGAAAACAATACAAAGTGAAATTACATTTTCAAATGTGCATTTAACACTGATGGCTTAAGAATAACACTTATTCATAACTAAAGATTATTTTCACCATAAAAAATAAAACTTTTCAATATTTATTTATTTTTTACATTGAATATTGATCGAATTGTAAATATAACTTTTATCTTGAAGGAAATAATGTTATTTAAAATGATTTAATATAATGCAACTGAAAAATAGGACATAAAAATAAATAACGATGGCATTATCAAATTTTATGTGAAATTTCACACCTGGGCTATTGATGTACGGCGCCAGTATTTATAGTATCACAATGTAACGAAAATTGCGCGTTTACTTTTACAAAGTAATGCAAAAGTAAATATATATAAGTCTGATTTATGACAAGACCAGATGTCATTTTCATGAAATATTGCACGACAGCTTTAAACCATGAAAACTATTAGGCTTTTTATGCTATATATTTTAGTAATACCGTATACGGAAATAAATAACATGGTGTTAGATGCATTAATTATTTTATGTTATTTTTAATAATTAAAGTACTTTTATGTAATTACAAAGTGAAATATTACAGATATTAGTCTACTCAGACGTTTCATATCTTATATTTTGTTGCAATCACATTTTATAATTAATTTTCATATAATATTATTTAATTCGTAGAACTGCTTTATTTTGCATTATTATATATAATAAAAATATGTAAATTGTTTATTTACATTATTATAATTGTAAAAAACATATAAAGAATGGAGATAAATCTAGCCAAAGAATTATCGATCTTAGTCTTTCCAACCTATATATTTTATAAAAAATATATCTAAAATTTTGATTTATTTACAAATCTTAACTGTTTCTATTAAAACCAAAAGGCTAAAGTCATTAAATTATTTATTATTATGTTTTGGCCACTATTCTTTCCATTGTTGTATGAATCCATATTTATATTTGTTATATATTTCTATAACTACTAGGTACTTTTCCATCGAAAGATTCTACAACTAATCAATATGTAATGTCTATTCTTAATCACTAATTCTATTAATGACTACGAATATGTACATAAAAATTAGAGAAAGTTAAGTTCAATTGCACAAATATTCCCATACCAAATATTGTAATCCCACTATGTTAATTCCTTACTATAAAATAAGATGCTTAAGTAATACAAAGTTCTAGTCCCAAGTTCTAGTTAATTCTCTTGAGTAGTCTTGAATTCCAGTTATACTCATAAGAACCCTAGTAACAAACCTAGATTTTTTAGAAAATTGGTGTATTTTTACATCAGCGCGAGTAGTTAAAAATTAAAAAAAACTCCACTAAGACTTCACAACGATATAACAACATAACTTTGTGAAATTTCACGTAATCATCATCAGCGAAAGTTTTACCATTCCAGGAGTTTTGGTGACTTCCAAATCAAGCTTCAATACTTTTTCAAGAGTTACCAAAATTGTGCGAGGTCTTGCCTTGAGTTTTTGATTTGTCCTTTTTCTTTGATTGCTTCAGTTTCAGTAAATATCTAAATTGATCGTTTGATTCCTTGGATCTCAAAATACAATTACTTTTATAATCCCACAAAATTATAATTTGAATTGCTTTCGATGTGGTTTTCGATTGATGTATTTGTAGAGTATACATTTTGCATCACCAGTGATAATTCATTACAAAAAAGAGATGATTA